GGAAATGATTGCAAATTATTCAAAACTATGAGTAATTAAAAACAATTCTAAAACTGTAATTTGTGGTCAAAAAGAAAAAGAGCGCAGAGAGAGAGTTGGTGATCACTTATCGATTAATCTTTTTTATAAAGTTTTTGTTTTCATCCAAACCTATAAAGAATTGTGATTTGAAATAAGTTTAAAGGAATTGACATTAATTTATGGTCAATAAGGATATGAAAGGAAATGGAAACGATTTTTGGAAACAATTGTTGATTCATTTGTCTTTTCTTTGGATATACAGAATATTTGATCATTTGATTGACTGAAACTTGAAGCGAACGGTGGATGTAATGATGATGCGAGAGATGAGTTGTAACAAAAGCATTGTCTTGAATGCCTGTTGAAGAGGTGGAAGAAGATGTGGCTTTACTTCACTGGACTCTCTATTCATTGCAAATTTAAAAGTATAGCAATTGGAAGTGAATTGAGGGTCAGAAGTGGCGCAAAGTATAGCATATATACTGGTTTAGAGTGTTTTACGATCCCATCAGAGAAGTGCAGTGTCTGTGAAGTGAGAGCAGACATCCCTCTGTTTGGCAGTCATTTGGTTCGTTCCCGACAACCGATATCTCAGTTGGCAATCAATGGGTGAATGCATTGCATGTATGGCTGGTCTCGAGTACGCAAACTCTAAGCACAACTGCCTCTCAATAACTGCAACACAAGTCGTTTCAGTCGTCAGTCGTTTGGAACCGTCGATCGTAACACTTCTCGCTCGACGTCTCGTCCGTCTTCTCATCGCTCTATACCTGAGCCCTGACTTACCGCCGATGACCACATCGGCCAACACTCTTCGCCCGTACAATAGGTGAGTGACAGACACTATGTATATGAATGAATCGGCGGAGACAGAGGTCCGGCACCAGAATTGTTGGGCTAATGATAAGTTAGGTTAGGTTAGGCTGTGCTGCCTGTGATGTGTCCCCTCTAGCACTTGATTATAAGCTATGTTTTGCCGAAAACCTCTCCTATAGTCTGGAGTTGTGTTTGGTTTGGATCTCACTTTCATTATAAGGCGTCTTCGCATTCGTGACCAAATGCTTGCCTTCAGGTTCTGTTGCCATAAATAGAGTTTTAGTCTTCACCGACACTACAAATAGTTTGTTAAAACTTTACACTAATTATAACCTGAAATCAGATTTCGTATGAATTGAGTGAATGTCACGCTTCGTGACCATCATTACAGTGAGTGTTGACATCAGAACCTAATGCTCCTAATGTGTTGCCTGCGATGGTCTGCGATATGCCTCGCATTTCAAGCACTTCCTCGACATTACGCCGTCTCTCAAGAGGTGACCACTACTTACCGCTCACATCACGGCTTTGTCTCCCAAATGTGGACGACTTGTCTATAGTTTGCCAAACATTGAAATGAGTTCAGTCTTTGTGTTATACAAGTGTGTCTGCATTTTATCGATTTGTGCTCACAATCGGCACTACTGTACAGATCTGTACACATCTCTCGCTGTATATATACTGAACACAAGTCTTGCAAAGCATTACTGAATGCAACACAAAGAGAGAGCGAGTCTCCCAAAGAGGTGAAAGCGTCGAAACCGACCCTATATTCACAGAACTCGCAAAACACTCGCAACCATAGCGTCAACAACACTGACGCTCCAACTCATGAACAACTTCTTTGTGATCATATATTCTCTCCATTTACTACAATTTCCAATCTCTTTCTCTCTCTCTCTCTCTCTCTCTCTCTTTCCTAACTTTTTGAATACATGTTTAAATAAACGTTGGACACCAAATATGTTTCCCGTGAGTCAAACAGCCATTTCTGGGACTCTCTCTCTCTCTGCGCTCTTTTTCTTTTTGACCACAAATTACAGTTTTTGAATTGTTTTTAATTACTCATAGTTTTGAATAATTTGCAATCATTTCCTTTATAAATAAGTGCAAAAGTATGTGATAACAGGTATAAAGTGGTCATTGAGTGACAGTCTTGAGGAGTAGTTGGCGTAAAGTTAAACCAAACAATGATAAGAGTGATAACGAAAGCGTTTCATGAATTGCAATGAAATTCTCAGTTTATTTGCGATTATTATTATGAAAATGATTTCACATTAGAATAAAAACTCTTAAGAAGTTATCGAATATTTTTTCCAACAGAAGTGAAAGCTTTATAATTTGGTGACCATTACTGTGAGCGCCAGTGCCTACGGGTGAGAGACCGCACCCTAAAAGGCAATGTATTATCCGAGTGTATTCGCCGGCGTCCGCCCCTTCCAAACGCTCGGGGATAGAGTCGACAATCCATTAGACTTATCAGTAAAGCAGTCCCTCAGACCCGATGCTCCCCAACACCACAATTTGCAACTTATGATTGAACGCAAGTTAGCCATCGATCCGCTTCCGTCCCGATCTCAACACATGCCTCTTCTCGACACTATGTATGCGTATAAGCCCTTCATCACAGACCCGACGCAGTGTCCAATAGGAAGTGCGGCCCTTATGGGTCAGTCCATCGGTAACCCCTATTGTTCTTCATTGTCGTCTTCTTCGGGAATCAGTCATTTGGGTTTAATTCCGGATCTATTGCATCAAAATAGAGATGCATTGGCTTTGGAAGCGTCTTCTCTAACGCCTTATCCGTTAGAAATCTCGGCTCATATGCCGTATCACATGCGCATCGGAAGCGCCACTGCGGCCACAATTGCCATCAATAATGCCAATCAAAGGTCTTATTTCGGTCACAACTCTTTGGGTTCCGTTCTGTCACCACATATGACACCTTCCTTTGCTCCGTCTATTCCCCACTACTCTCTCTATTCGGATCTTTTAAATGACATCAATCGACGACCAGTTGAGCCCGAAAAGAGTGTCTTCGGCTCATTGGCGGCAATGGGAGCGCCACCCGAACCGACCACACGATTCTCAGAACACTTACAAAGACTTCGCGACCATAATCTCCAACAAACCAAATGTTCGGCCGTCTGTTGTCTGCCATCGTCTTCGACCAATGCCTGTAACTGTTGTAATATCGGGCTCTCAATCAATAACAACATGTCATCAGTTTTGCAGACATTGTCACCGCTTTCGTCCAAAGAAGTACATCAAACCAATAGTTCTTGTGCACAATCTGTGGACCCTTTCGGTGATAACAGACGTGAAAATAAAACGTTGGACACCAAATATTTTTCCCGTGAGTCAAACAGCCATTTCTGGGACTCTTCAGTGTCTGTTCACCAAAAAGAGTGTCAAAAAGAGGAGAAAACATTTGCAGATAAGTGTCACAAAAGTCAGGAAGTGGTCACTCATGATGTGATCACTATTGATGAGGATTACAATGACGTAGAGATTGAAGACATAAAGCAAACGACTAATGAGTTGATGGAAAGAAAGTCGACCGAAACAACGAGTGGTCAGAAGGAGAGCGGATCAGGTGTGGAGGGAAGTGGATATGGATTAAGCAATAGTGTTAAGTGTAGTGGAAGTGATGAAAGTGTCGAAACAGAGACTCAACACAAGAGTTGTGAAGTGAAATGCATTTCAACGCAAGACACGGCTCATCAAAGCCATAATCACTCGCATAGAGAGACACAAAAGACATATCAAGACATTGGAGTGAAAAGCAATGCAACAAAACAACTCAAAGACTATAAACTCATAAACAAAAATCAAAATATAAATTCAGTCGATAAAAGACAAGCAAAAGAGACGAAGACAGTAGAGGTTCAGTGCGATGGACCCGATTGGACACCCATTGTGTTGCCGACACAACTCAGACTTAAATTACAAAAAGCGGTTCGCATTTCTTTGAGTGATTCCAATACCACTTCCAACCGATCGATAGGTCATCGAAATGAGAGCAAAAAGTGTAAACAGAAGCACATCCACACTCATCATAGAAACCATAACAGATCCCGATCTTCATCTTCATCCACCGGTTCCAGCAGAAGATCGTCACCAGATATGAGACAACATTTGGACAGTAATTGTGTGAAATCACGGAAGCGATCAATGCTTAAGTGTTTGGTTAATTCAGAGGGATATGTGGCCGACAAGATCAAGACAATCGGTGGTCAACACGATCTCATTGTGTCGGATCCGTCACAACTTGGACGTGAAGAACGTGCTCTTCAGGTAAGCTTTCATTGTATTGAATCAATTCATAAATTGTATATAATTTGTGATAAGTATGTGTTTGTATGGATCCGTTTCCTCGCAGTCAGTCATAGTCTATATAATGTGCTTCTCTTTGACTTGTCGTCAATACAGTCGGCCATAGCTTTCAACGCAAAACCTTATCACAAGTTTTGCATTAAAACAGCGATTCAACCAACAAATGCATTCATCCCTCTCTCCCTCTACGGCAATGCAAACTCTAATGAGAGTGAGTGAGTGAGAGAGAGAGAGAGAGTGAGAGAGAGAGAGAATGGATGAGAGGAAACATTATTTAATGAATTGAATAGAAATGAGAGAGAGAGAGAGAGAGAGAGAGAGAGAGAGAGCAGTCGGCAGTAAATGTGGAAATTCTACATTTGCTTTCGAGACTCGCAGTCAAAGCCTCGAAATATAATTTTCTAAAACTCTATTCACAAACCCATTAAATGTCGGCAAAAGTGAATTTTAGTATAAAAATGAAATCATTTGAGATGTTATGTGAAAACAATGATTGCCGTAATTATATAGAAAAGTGAATGAGATTAGAGAAGTTGTTGTTTGATAGGAAGTGTTAGGGACTGGCGCTGGAGAGACGGTATGTCGAGAGATAGTGAATCGACGAGTAGTTGTTTTATTTGAGTCGATATTTGCAAACGAGAGAGTCTTTGCTCTGCAATCATAGGAAACACAGAACTGAACCGATGTTAAGGCTTTACTGTTGTGCGAAATGAAAGGCATTACTTGATGTATGAAATAAGTCTCACATTTTATCTCATAATTAATTGTAAATTTGGCCCAAATTTGAATCACTATTGAATATTTTGTGCGCAAAACTTTTGATTAAGGTTTTTTGGCCAAAGATTTACACAAATAGACTTTGAATGTATGTTTGCTTTTGGGTCTATAATCAGTCCGTTTGTAGCGATAGCTAAAAATAGTGTGCATTCACTCATACTTTCAGAGTGTATGCGACTCTTGCACTGCATATCAAGCATACAATCAATACATACACTATTTTACACTCAACTCTATGCCCAATACGAGCCGCTATTTCGCCAACATTTTATTCATAATCACTTTTTATAGATTTAATTTAATTGTCATTTCATCGCAAATAAGTCCATTTTATGGATAAGTTGTTGTTTTGGTAGAGCGTCTCTAAATAGGGGTTCTTTGAATCGCTGGGAAATTAGAAATACTTTTGAAAACTAGAATTTCATTGTTTAGCACAATATAGACGAGAATATAAGTATGTTATGTAACTTATATATACTTTGTATATATAGCGCGCTATAAAACACTTCGAAGTACTCCATAAACCAGAGAAGAGCTCAATAGAGATCTCTCAGGTATGGCACCAGAGTTTGCTTTCTCTTACAATTAATTCTTTGACTATTAAACAGACAGAAGAAGACAAACAAAGTTATGATTGCGACACGAATTCAAAGTTCGGTTAGTAATGAATGAAATCATTGGTTCTAAACATTGCTTTTCAAATGCATTTGTGTTTTTGTTCAGAAAATAATGTCAAAGAATATCAGAATATTATCGAATCAGTTGTCAATGAAAGTGATCTTAAAGTGCATTCTTCAGGTAAATACAAATTCAAACGTAAATTCAAAATGTGTTATATTTTGAATTTGATTTCACAGAGTCTTCAAAGAGTAGTAAGAAATGTAAAGAAAGTGAAAAGAATGAAGATTTGGACGAATCGATGAATTCGTTAAATAAGACAAAAGTGAAACCGAACTCAAAGAAAAGATTAATAGAAAGTTGTGAAACAAAGACAAAAGGATTGGATGTGAAGCTCAAAGAAAAGAAAGTGAAACCAAACGAGAAAAGCGATGAAAAGACGGCTCAACACAACATTCAATGCAAACAGAAAAAGGTTTATATTTATGTGAAAACAGTTGGCTTTAAATACTTTTGTTAAAGCGTTTAATTGATGGCATTGTTAGGCAATGGTAAGCGTCCGTCGGAGACGATTCCGCTCGGGTCTGGATATGATCCGAAACCCGAACCGACGCAAGAAAGCGCGTCTCAATCAGATTCAGGCGTCCCTTAAGAGGGAACAGTTGGGCGGTTTGGCCGGCGATGAATTGGTCCACAAATCGGTATAACAGTGTTTTGAATGAATGCATGACTCAGTGCTGGGAAGCTATTCAGCTGTTGTGTCGCTCCAGCGCTCAAATGAGTGCTTTGTGTGTATTAACCGTATATTCGGCTCCAAAACTACATTTGAAATGCGAATAAATTTGATTTCCAGTCATAGCCCTAACGTTAATCACAGATATGCAGGTCTTCCCACTCCGAGGGACTCTATGGGGATGTTATGTAGTGTTAGTGAGAGCGGAGTATATGAGCGCACAGTGCAGTGCAGTAGGAATTTAGAGACTATCTATGATTTGTGTGAAATGGAGAGAAAGAGACGATAATTGAGGCAAAAATGCTGAACAGATCTCATTACCGAAACAGAACTCGGATTCAGTGAATGGATGCCTAGAAGTGAAGCGCCTTATGGTGAACAAGGCTTTGGGGGAAACACTGTTACATAGGGCCGCCCGGAGTAACCGAATTGTAAGTTTTCAAACATTATACTGGGATTGTGTTATCACTATCTCGTTGTCTAAGGATGTCGTCAAAAGCTGTCTTCAGTCAAACACATGTGATGTGAACGCAAAAGACAACGCAAACTATACACCCCTTCACGAGTGTTCAACTCGAGGCAACCTCGAGATCGCAGCTCTACTCTTGCAGTGCGGCGCTCACGTGGACGCCAGTGCCACGGGAGGCATCAGGTGAGCACATCATGGCTTCCCATTCACTTCTCTAAGCCTTTTGCTCCCTTTAGACCTCTTCACGACGCCATTGAGAACAATCACATAGAAGTGGTGCGACTTTTGCTCGCATACGGAGCCGATCCTAACATAAGCGTAATGTTATTATAGTTGTGCTTAAGTGTCACCTCTCACTGTCTTTGTGTGTATTGCAGACATATTCAGGTGCGACTCCTTTGCAATTGTCGCGCTCTAAACACATGACAACATTCCTCACCGGTATTACCATTGAATCTCGAATTTAATATTCGTTGCTTTAAGACTTGCTTTCATTTCAAGGCTTTCTCAACGATATATCAGGAGATAAACACAAATCAAGTCAACCATTGCTCTGGAAGTTCTCAGAATCAGCACATATTTCATGTATGATATCAAGAAGTATACGAATGACAATCAAAGATGGCATCTCTTTTCAGATACTAAACAAATTGGATTCGATGTGTTTGATGGCCTCCCATCGGATGCAGAGGAGGAATCACAAGATTTTCTGTTTGAAGACAATGACAGACCTTTGGATATAACATATCGATTGCGTAATTCTGCCAAAGAGTAAGTGATTCTTCGTTTTTAACTAATTTTAATGCAAATCCTGACGAAGTGTGCCATCGATTGAATGAATGCGCTTTAAGTTATAAAATCCAAACGACTATTTGATGGATAGATAATGACAGGAAATGCCATCTCATTAATGGCCACTATTTCTAATCATTTTAGACAAACGACACAAAATATCCATTAATAGCAACGAATAGCCCCTCAATCTTATAAAACCCTTTCGACTAAATTGATTGACAAAATTTGGATTTCAGATCAAATCATTTGATGCGTTTGTGTGATGTGCTCAAGAGAACTGGTCTAACGAGGGATGAATGCACTAAACGACATGTAAATGTGAAGATAGTGTCCATTTGCAGGCAAGAGTTGCAAAGGTCTACAATCGGACAGTTAGTGCGCGAATGGGAAACGGATTCTTCCATTACTGAGGATATGATTGTTTTGGATGACAGCGTGAGAAGTATTTTAGGAATAGAGACCTTAAGATTGGGATAAATGTTACGCTTTTATGATCTCAAGAGTTGAGAAATGTTAACAATTTCTGTTTGTATCATACATTGTGCCAAAAATAGTGTTAAATTTGTATTTGTTTTTATAAATCAATTGAATATTAATATATATTTTATGAATAAAAGTAACGTAAAAGACATTTGTTTATTGATTGCAAGCGTTGGTCACAAAATAAAACAAAATTTTCTTTTCAAGAGATTAGCGTTCAATTAGTGTTAGACTCCGTTCTCTCGCAACACTCGTTACGATTGCCAACTGAGCCAAAGATACAGACTTATGCTGTTATGCCGTTACAGCGCCGCTATATATCACACTTTGGTCACTATATAGCGATATGGGGGTCATTGGGAAAGGCATCGCAAATTCACGGCCTTTGGGAGCTCTCCATCTCTCAAGCCGTATATAACCAGTGGCACCACTACTACACTACTGTACACTAACTCTAGTCAACTCTCTCTCTCTCTCTCTCTCTCTAACAGCACTACTAATACACCAGTATTTTGTGCTTTAATACTACAGTGTAGTGAAGACTCGATGCAAACAATGTGAACGAAATGGAAAAAAGAGACTCGGAGTGAACCGAAGCCTTAATCAGTGGGAGTTATATATCACTGTCTGTGAGCCATATATGCAGTCAGCAGTGGAATTGTGTTCACGATTCCAACTCATACTTCACTCGCATTTACTATTTGTACTAATTTTTAAGTATATTTCTATTCAATTCATTAAATAATGTTTCCTCTCATCCATTCTCTCCATGTTATTCATTGTCCACCATTTGGTCTCAAGAAATTTCATTTAATTCAAAACTCATTGTTAATTACGATTTGACAGTATATATCACTAACAGTGCAGTTATCAAAATGTGAGATATATTGCATATAATTGTTAAAATATTTGAAAACATATTTTGCGAAATATTTGCAAACCTTATACACAAATGAACACAACTGTGCAGTGAATATAAGGTTTGAGTTCTTTGTTGTAAGAGTGGCCCCCGTTTTAGAGCCCCACAGTTCAGCTTCTCTCCTCTTTGTTGCGCTCACATACTCTCTCCCCCTCTCTCTCTCACACACACATTCTCTCTCTCTCTCTCTCTCTCTCTCTCTCTCACACTCTCTCAGATGGCTTCAGTATACAGTAGTTGAGAGGAATTTAGATGAGAATATGAGCTCTGGTTAGATATGAGAGAGCTATGAGTGCTTAGAGTCAGTGCATGAGATCTATAGCATAGCTCGTAGAGTAAATAATGTGTACAAAACATATAAATGGTTAGAAATTTTGAAATTTATTTTCATTCAAAGATATATTAAATAAATTAATATATAGATTGAGAGATAAAGAAAACAATTGATTATTTATTGTCAATAAATACATAAATAATAGAAACACTCGAATGGCATTCAATTAATACAAAGAGTTAGTCGTTGTATAAAAGGCTGCACTCATTCACATATCGTAATGGAAAAGAAATGTATAATAATTGACAACAAATGTGTGAAATGTGTTTTAAAGCAGAGACCTCTCGAAAGAGTCGATTATTGTAAGTTATGTTAGTTTGCGTTCACAGGTTTGCGACTAGAGATGGGATGTAATGGTCGTTTCGCTTACGGTTAGAGCCCTCACGGTTTGCTTAGGTTTGGCTGAGAAATGGTTCAAAACAATGCCATATATGATGTCCTTAAGTAATCTCAGTTATCACATATTGAATGAGCACTTGTTTTATACTATCTTTACTATTACTCTATCACTAAACATAAGCCATTGTTCGACAATTTCATAAAAATACAGAAGAATTAAGTGATAGTTTGGCTATAATTTGCTAATAGAATCACATAATAGATTTGGTTCATAGTTTGGGTGTAATGTTGACTGTAATGTTAGCACTGGTCTTATGGACAGTACAGACATAACAGTCATCAATACTTTAAGCAATTTTGAAATATAAGGCACACTAATTAGCATTCAATTTATAGTTTATCTAAATTACAGCCAATTAATGGCCAAACAATATGTGTTTCTATACACACATCACAAACATCTTTAAAAATGTATTAACAACTGCTTAAAAGCTCACTTAGAAATCAATAGATTTGTACAAAAATATCGGATATGAGAGTAAGAAATGATTGAGAGATCGAATGACAGTAATCATGAAGATATTTGTGATGGCGTTATGTCTGACATTAGTTTATTAACAAAATGTTTTATACAATAGAGAAATAGTGGAAACACATGAATCCAAAGACTAGAATCCGATCAAAGGTTGTGTCGGCAATCGAAGCCATTCTCGGCTTTGGACATGCGTTCAGAGCAATAAAAGGGCAATAAATAGTCATATAATGAGACTCTACTACAGCTTATTCTCATACAATTAGCCCAAAAGGAAAGGTCTCTGCAATCAGTTGACGCAAAACAAATATATGGTTAGACTTTCGCTTTCAATACAGAGTTCAGCTTTTGTCCAAAAGCAATGCTTTTGACACTCGGGTCCGCATCGAAAGGTGACCACAACTGACTCTAACTTTATGTTTAGTACATTGGGTGCAGCCATACCTCACACTATTACAGGTGTCGAGTAAACACATAGAGAATGCCATACTTTCCACATAATAACAAACGTTAGTTTAGTGTATAAGACAGTAATAATTGTTGAATTAAAAGCAAAACATCTCTTAATGTACTCTAACTGTGTTGTAAGTGATTGGGATAGAAAGATGTTCACTATTGAGAGGTGTAGAGCTGCACATACGGTATACAAGATAGAGTTGTTTTGCTTTACTTGTCATCCCTTTTCATGTTTAGTCACATACAGTATAAGAAATTCATTATTTAAATAAATCAATTGTCAGGAAAGGGATGACAACTTCTAATCTAAAACAGTTTATGAAATTATAAATTTAATTAATATTGATTAATATAAATATGAGCCCAATATTGTCAGCCATGAAAACAATTCATTATAAATAAAGTATTTTTGTGTAATTATTTTAAATGTATTAAATGTTTTACAATTGAATGGTGTAATGAATTGTGGGTCGGAGTCAACAAGTGATCATTTTGTTTGCAAATTCGTTATAATTTAACACAAATATGTGGACAATATTGTAAAAAACAAAATAACTTATTTCTAATGACTGACATTTTTAAATACTAATTGTTATCATTTGGTAATTGAGTTAAAATCTAATCGACATTTAAGGAAATTATAAAACATTAAAATAACAGTCATTTATGTTTCGCTAATTTAATGGTTTTGAAAATAAAATTACAAATCAATTGAGATTCAAAATGGAATGAATCGATACTTTCATAGCACTGGATGTGACCTCAACTCCACTCTATTTATAAGAATTATATTCAAAACAAATGACTGCTCAACCAATAAATAGTTGGCGACCGCATCAGTTGCCCCACCAGTCAGGACCCGATGCGCCCGAACTGTAGTTACCGCCGTACGAGCCGTTGCGAACGGCAACCATATAGTTAGGAGGCATACCTGAGTTGCCATAATTCTGATACCGAGAGTCCGGCGTAGGGTTTCCATAGTTGGGGCCATTCGATGGGCGACCGTTTCCTGCGTTGCGTTGATTGCCTCCGCGATCAAACTGACGGTAATCCCGGGATCCAAACCCTCCGGCGCCAAACCTAGTCATTACATCGTTTAATACTAATCGACAGGTAATCAATGGATTGGACATACTTTTTATACGAGTTGCCGCCGCCGTATTTGCGTTGACTATTAGAGCGCTGTTCGCTTTGCACCTCTTTGCTGACGGCTTGGAGCCAATGCGGCACTTCTTGTTTAGTCTCACTGACGAGTTCGCACAGGTCTATAGCCATGTTCTTGTTCTTGTCATTGAAGAAAGATGTGGCCAATCCTAAGTTGCCTACTCTTCCAGTTCTACCAATTCTGTGGACATACTCTTCTATATCGGTCGGCAAATCAAAGTTGATTACATGTTTCACATTCGGGATATCGAGACCCCGAGCGGCCACTGCTGTGGCCACCAAAATAGGTGTGCGACCGGTTCGGAAAGAGTTCAACGCCTCTTCGCGCTCACGTTGGGAGCGATCGCCGTGAATACTCGTCACAGGATAGCCATCCCTTTCCAGGAATGTCTCCAAAGAGTCGGCGCCTTTCTTCGTCTCAACGAACACCAAAGTCAACGAATCGAGCGCTAAATTCAATATCAAAGGTAATTAAAACAATGCCTTATAGTTTGGCAAATCAAACATCAGATGTAACACACAGTCAGACAATAAATATGTTCCACAAAAATATTCAGATTTCAAGTGTCAATAAGATTCATCATAAGATCAATACAATGACAACAAGTCACTCAACACAACTTACGGGGATTCTGATTCTTGAGACCCGCGGCGTTCAACAAATCCAACAAAAACGACTTTTTATCGGTCTCTTCCACCCAAACTATTTTCTGAGTGATATTCTCTGAAGTACTGCCCACTCGTCCCACCGCTAAGAAAATATAATTGTCGAGAAAATTTCGGGCCAACTCTTGAACTTTTTTGGGAAAAGTAGCCGAAAACATAAGTGTTTGTCGGTCACCAGTCCGGGGCATATTGTCTTCTAATACTATTCGACGAATCTGTGGCTCAAAACCCATGTCAAGCATGCGGTCGGCCTCGTCTAACACCAGATACCGAACCATTTCAAGGCTTATCTTTCCTCTTTCAGTCATGTCTACCAAACGACCTGCAAATAGCATAACATTTCGTTACAATACATTTGTAAAGCATAACACACGAGCAGACAAACCAGGAGTGGCGACGAGTAGTTGACAGCCACGATCCAAGTCTTTCATCTGCTGGACGGGATCCGCACCGCCGTAGACAACACAGGGCCTGACGCGGGAACGGTATGCGAATTTACACGCCTCGTCGTAGATCTGTAGCGCCAGTTCTCGAGTGGGCGACAGAATCAATGCCAACGGGTATTGTTTGACTTTAGCTCCGGGACGCACCGCAGGGAAGTTCTTCGGGCGTCCGTTTTCGAAGATCTGATTCAGAATCGGCAGAAGAAAGGCGGCCGTCTTTCCGGAACCGGTCTGCGCGCAGGCCATCAAATCACGCTTCGATAAAATAATTGGAATCGCGTACTTCTGAACCGGAGTGGGCACCGAATACTGGGCCAGTTTCACGTTCATCTCAATGATTGAGGTCAGTCTCATCTCTTTGTCATCAAAGGCCTCAATATGATCTGGACAGTTGAGTCCGGTCGCCTCCACCGGGATGTCCTCGTATTTGTCGAAATTAATGCCCGTATGTCCTGAAGAGAACAGATACCGTTCCTGAGCCTCATTCCTGTCGAGAGGAATACTCCAGTCGTCGTATTGCGAGCGGTAGTCGTCGAACCGACGAGTGGTCGGCCGCGAACTCTCAAAGACCTCGCCCTCCACTTTGGGCGCATTGGGATCTCTCCAATTGCTATCAGTGTTGGATCGGCCGAAAGGGTCCACATTTCGGTTCGTCTCAACACTTACTTTCCTTTGATTTGGCTTTTGTTGATAATTAGGCGAACGATCGTTATTATAGCCTAAGAGTGCAAACATTGAGTCAATATATTGTGACAAAAGAGCAAAACATGTCAATACAACAAACCTCCGAATTGATTGTTAGGTCTCTCGTAAGCATTGTTTTGGTTTACATAACCGGCATTTGGAGCCGCGTTTTGACGCGAACCACGATTACCACTGTCTGCGAGACAAACACCACATTTATAAGCATACAAGCGATGGTTCAATGCATGACTCACTTCTGCCGCGATAATTGGGTCGCGAATTGTAGTCCTGATGCGGTGGTCGAGAGTTGTTGTCACGACTATAGTCTTCCCTTTGTTGCGGTTGTTGTGGTTGTTGTGGACCAGAGTTTTGGTACGAGTTTTGGCGACTGTTTCGCAGGTGTGGAGGAATGTATTTGCCTGAAGTACCACCGGTTAGGTCCAGACCAGCAAACTATGACAATGAGTGGTTATAATGAGTGTTGGGTGGAGGGGTGGGGGTAGGAGTGGTGGGGGCGCATACCTGCTGCTCGAGACCCTGTTGTGATCCATTGTAATTCATAGTATTCATACGATACAGATATTAACGTTCAGCACAAGTCTTCAAATAACAAACACCGATATATTCACTACAAAATTCAATTCAAAATATATATATTAATCAATTAATTATGAAATTAAATAACAATTAATTAAATTGAAATCAAAGTCAAGTCAAGTGTTATAACACTCTCTGGTGTTGTGCTCAACAAAATGGTCGACAAAAAGCAATTGTCAATGCATTCAACGCACACAACGCCTCGTATATACCGTCACTCAACGCAATCAATGGGTGACTCACTTTGATATGACTCAACACTTTATTGCACACAATTCCAGGGTTTGGTTTAATGGTGTTATTCGTAACGTTATATGTGAACGACTCGCGACCGAAGTGACAAAAGAAACGCATAAATGACGTAAACTTAGATCAGAAGCGAAACAAAGGGATTGAATGCAAAATCGAGTGCTTTGAGTGAACGCATTGCCAATGCATTCAATGCATTGCACACCACATGTGACGTGACTTGTGTTGTGTTAAGTGTTGTTCACATCCTTTTCCTGCAAACCATAACTCGTGTATAAATTGTTGTTTGAATTGTTGTGTGAATTGATTACAAGTATCGATGGGTCGAGTGATCCGAAGTCAGCGCAAAGGCGCCGGTTCTGTCTTCAAGAGCCATAACAAGCACCGGAAGGGGTCCCCGAAGTTCAGGGCAATTGATTTCGCCGAAAGACACGGTTATATCAAAGGCGTGATTAGGGTTTGTATTGAGTCTATGATTAAACGATTGTATTGATTGAATGTCTGCCTCTCTCTCATAACAGGAGATAATCCACGACCCGGGAAGAGGTGCTCCGTTAGCGCAAGTGGTGTTTCGCGACCCCTATAAGTATAAGTTGCGTAAAGAGCTGTTTCTGGCGGCGGAGGGCATGTATACGGGACAGTTCGTGTACTGCGGCCGGAAGGCCACCCTTCAGATCGGCAATGTGTTGCCCATCGGCACTATGCCTGAGGGAACTGTGGTCTGCAATCTCGAAGAGA